AAGTGCTGTGGGGAAAAACCACAAAACAGCTTCAGCTGCTGGATTCACTACAAGTTGATGTTGTAACTGTAAGACTGGATAGCCAGACAACAAATGAAACCTGCTGTCAGTGAACATTTTACTGAAACATTCATTAGCAACATTTTCTCATTATGTTAATAGATCCATTCACTTGATGCAGTTTCAGTGTTACAAATATGCATGTGCAAAACAAAATTTAAATGTTCTGTGAATTTATTAAAACCAGTAGTATTTATATCAGCTGGCTTGAGATCTGGTGACCGTGAAGGCCACACCGTATGATTCCATGAACCATTATGGCCTGTGGACTGGGCCACTGTCACTCATTTATTCAGGTTTGTCCTCTACTCTGTTACCTGTCCCAGCACTATGAGAGCAGATCGTTAATGGATTAACACTGACAAAGTGACAAACAACAACCTAAAGGCTGACACAGACCCCAGCACTGGTATTCAGTATGTTGATCCCTGTCTCATCCTCTGCAGCGTCTCCCTTCTCTGTGGCTGCTTTAAATCCTCTTCTGGCCTTTTATCTCCAATCCAACATGAAACACACACACCTCTGTGGTTTCCAGGCCCAAGGGTGTGTTAGCTGTATCTTCCCCCTGCAGCCAGCCATCCACACATGCACAACAACAGTGATGAAGGCAGAGGAAACAAGAAAATCCCAGTCCCTCACATAATTAGACAAATGCATTCAGTCTGTCTGTGTGTGCATGCTCAGTCATGAGAGCACAGAGCGTTTGTGTGCGCGCGTATGTCTGTGTATAGAGGTTTTGCAGATGCATAAAATAAACTATGAAAAACAGAGGCCCCTAGCTGGAGAGCTGACTGCAGCTAAATGAAGCAATCAGTGGCTGTAATTTATAAAGAAGTAATGTGATCGAATTGATTTACATCCAAATTTAGGTTAGTGTGACAAGTAACAGGGTCATACTTTCTTTGATAATGATAAACAATAAGAGTGTTGTTTGGTAAACAATAGCAATGTTGATATATTAATAAATGTAATGTCAGAATGTGAAGTCACTGGTAGCCCTCTATTCATTCAGAAAGTCAGCATATATTAAATCTTTAACTTTGTGGGCTTTGTACATTTGCAACATGTAGTCAGTCTTGGTGAGAACAAACTCACTTTATTGTGCATCCCTTTGAAACCATTTGTGCAACACTTTCATCAGTATTATACCCATATATGTCACGTTGTACCTACAGTATACTGCCTGCTGGGACCACTTTAAAAACAAAACTACTGTATGTTTAAATTAAAACAGATTTTTGCCTTCATGGCAAAATCACATTGTTCCATGTTGCTTATGCCGTCTCAGTCTCCATCCATCCATCCATTGTCTAAACCGCTTAGTCCCAAACGGGGTCACGGGGGGCTGGAGCCAATCCCAGCCAGCTGCGGGCGAGAGGTGGGGTACACCCTGGACAGGTCGCCAGTCCCTCGCAGGGCTAACACACAGACGAACAACCACTCACAAACACAATCACTCCTATGGGCAATTTAGAGACACCAATCATGTCTTTTTTCACTGACCAGGTATATCACACCCAAGCTGTCATGTGGTAGCAGGGGCTGAACACTGATGGCCTCCTCTTCTTCCCAGAACATGTTTTGCACAGAACTGATTGCTTCAAGATCTGTGATCATGTTCATCAGAACAGCTGTATATCCTCATTTGTACTGGTATGTGCTGTGTTATTATCCATTAGTTATTACTAATGAACATTTCTGCCTCATAGTAAAACTTTCCACAAGTGTACCTTTAGGAGGCTTTAATTGTGAAAAAGCCAACTGTATTTATTATAAAGGTTAGTTTGTTAGAAGTGCTGTTGTTCAACAAAATGAATCGACACAACAGCATAGGGTTAAAAGACACTAAAAACTGAGACTGATATAATATAAATGAGATACCACCGTTTAATTACAATAACTTAAGGGCTGACAAGGAGTCAGCACCAGCTGCAAATCACCTAACAGCTTTAGATCTCTGCTGGTACAACATAAAGACAGGACAATAACTGTCCATCAAAAGTCAGGAGTCAGTGGACAACTGGAAAAAGATCGAGGAGGGCATGTCACCAGACCATCTCTTCTCAGATTAAACTACCTGTTTACCATGATCCATTTTTTATACTTAGCTCATATGATGACATCTGAGCCAACCCTACTGCAGCTGAAAAGGTGACAGGTCATGACTAAAAGGTCTTAAAGTGGGCCATACGTTATGATTTTTGGCAGAAACCTGAAAACCTCCTCACTGTGCTCTGAGTGTCCCTGAACCTCACTTTGACTAAATGTGTGGTTTACCGTGTCTTATCCAGGTTTTGCCCCCTTTGTTATTTTCTTAAGAATACATGCAGCATACAAGCAGAAACAAGCATGTGCATGTATAATATGTAACAATGTCATGTTAGATGTTTGTAGTTCCCATGTCATTCTTCCGGCACCACGCGGATTGGCAGGGTGTTCCAGCAGTTCTGTCCTCTTGTGTTTTTTTCCCGTGCTTTCCGTGTTTGCTTTGTGTTATACTTCTTCTGTAGGCCTCTGTGGAGCAGTGTTACTAGGAGTACAACTTTTTATTGCCTTTACATTACGTTTTATACTTTTTCACGAGCTCCGAGTCGAGTGGCCCCATTGTTCACTCTCGAGACCAGCAGCGCGCCCTCGAGAAGCTGGAGATTCCTACGGAGACACGACACAAAATGCGAGGCTGTAGGGCTGGAGTAAAGTGCCGAGAGAGGAAATGGAGGTACAAGCCATGTCTACCATCTGTCGTTATGGGAAACGTCTGGTCGCTCTCCAACAAGATGGACGAGCTAATGGCACTAACAAGAGTGGAAAGGGTGTACAGGGAGCATTATGTGTTTCACCGAGACCTGGATGAACAAGGACATTTCTGATTCGGTGGTCTCCCGGCATGGATTCACACTAGTTTGTGCAGATCGAAGCGCAGCAGAGAGTAGTAAGAAGAAAGGAGGGGTTTAGCTGTGTACATAAATAACAGATGGTGCAATCCCGGACATGTTACTGTTAAGAAAAAATTCTGTAGCAGAGACATTGAACTACTAGCTGTCAGTGCACAGCGTTACTATATTCCCAGGGAGTACTCTCATGTAATCGTGGTCACGGTGTACGTAAATCCCTCCGCCAATGCTACTGCTGCATGCGAGTGCGTGCGAGCGCGTGCGAGCGCGTGCGAGCGTGCGCAGAGCACCGTGTCTCAGCTGCAGACACAACACCTGCATGCTTTAATCCTCATCTCAGGGGACTTTAATCATGCCTCCCTCCCCTTCTCTGCCACCCTCATAGTTCAGTGAACACAGAGCCCAACACAGACCTTGCACATTTATCAGGCAGGGTGATTTACAGATTGACAATCATGATATTGGTTAAAAATATGTCACTATCAAAATGAATATTAAATTGAAAAAGCCTCCCTTCCTTCATAGACCAATCCACTCTCTTGGTTTTGGTTTAACATCATCTCTAATCAATTGACAGTTGTATCAAAACCAACTAATCAAATTTGCTATGTTGGTTACCCATTTAACATATGAAAGACTTTTTTTTTTGTTATTCCTTTTGGTGCGGCGTTCTTTGACCTAATCACA